GGTGTCTTGAACTCCTGACTTCAGGTGATCCGCCTGCCTTGGCCTCCCAAAGTGCTGGGATTACAGGCGTGAGCCACCACGCTTGGCCCCCAACATCCCAATTTAAACTCTGGGATGAATCTTTCTCTAAAATATACTATGGGCCCCTTCTTCCTTCTCCCCCAGAATAAAGAGATGAAACAGCACTGAAACCTTTTTTTATTGTTTTCCTGAGAGCCAGTATGGATACTGGGAGGTGCAAGGGTCCTGGACAAAGCCTAGATGTGACCCACAGCCCCTCCACCACCTTGCTCTGTGGCCTTGGCAGGTCACGTTCCTTCTCAGTGTTGATGTTCTACTCTGTAGAGGACAGTGACCTTGCACAGCTGACAGAGTTGTTGCAGACGCCACGTATGTACGTGGAGCACAGCAGGCAGGTGCCCACCATGTAAAGGATGACAAAGCTGTTTTCTCCATCACTCAAGATTTACACTGTGAACCCAGGTGCAGTAGCTCACATTAGTAATCCCAGCACTTTGGGAGGCTGAGGCGAGTGGATCACTTAAGGTCAGGAGTTCAAGACCAGACCAGGCTGGCCAAGATGGCAAAACCCCATCTCTACTAAAAATGCAAAAATTAGCCAGGCGGCCGGGCGCGGTGGCTCAAGCCTGTAATCCCAGCACTTTGGGAGGCCGAGACGGGTGGATCACGAGGTCAGGAGATCGAGACCATCCTGGCTAACACGGTGAAACCCCGTCTCTACTAAAAAAATACAAAAAAATAGCCGGGCGAGGTGGTGGGCGCCTGTAGTCCCAGCTACTCGGGAGGCTGAGGCAGGAGAATGGCGTGAACCTGGGAGGCGGAGCTTGCAGTGAGCTGAGATCCGGCCACTGCACTCCAGCCTGGGCGACAGAGCGAGACTCCGTCTCAAAAAAAAAAAAAAAAAAAAATTAGCCAGGCATGTGGTGCATGCCTGTAATTCCAGCTACTCAGGAGGCTGAGGCACGAGAATCACTTGAACCTGGAAGGCGGAGGTTGCAGTGAGCTGAGATTGCGCCACTGCACTCCAGCCTGGGTGACAGAGCAAGACTAAAAAAAAAAAAAGATTTACACTGTGAACACCAATCACTGTCCCATGGCTTCTTTCTACTCATCTATCTCCTCAATCAGGATCATCCAGAAAGCTGAGCTGGTCATCATTTTAACTTCCTGACTATGCTGCCTGGGAAACCTCCTTGCCTCAAGACAACTCAGAGAATATAAAAACCTGGGGGAAGGCCGGGCACGGTGGCTCAAGCCTGTAATCCCAGCACTCTGGGAGGCCGAGACGGGCGGATCACGAGGTCAGGAGATCGAGACCATCCTGGCTAAGACGGTGAAACCCCGTCTCTACTAAAAAATACAAAACACTAGCCGGGCGAAGTGGCGGGAGCCTGTAGTGCCAGCTACTCGGGAGGCTGAGGCAGGAGAATGGCTAAACCCGGGAGGCGGAGCTTGCAGTGAGCTGAGATCCGGCCACAGCACTCCAGCCTGGGCGACAGAGTGAGACTCCGTCTCAAAAAAAAAAAACCTGGGGGAAAAGAAACAAGTTTTGATTGAGCCCATTTTTTTTTTTTTTTTTTTTTTTGAGACGGAGTCTCGCTCTGTCACCCAGGCTGGAGTGCAGTGGCGCGATCTCGGCTCACTGCAAGCTCCGCCTCCCGGGTTCACGCCATTCTCCTGCCTCAGCCTCCCGAGTAGCTGGGACTACAGGCGCCCACAACCGCGCCCGGCTAATTGTTTTGTATTTTTAGTAGAGACGGGGTTTCACCGTGGTCTCGATCTCCTGACCTTGTGATCCGCCCGCCTCGGCCTCCCAAAGTGCTGGGATTACAGGCGTGAGCCACCGCGCCCGGCCGATTGAGCCCATTTTCAATCCTCCTTGCTTCCACCAAGGCACCAGAAGAAACCCAAAGAGCAAAGCCCCTGGCCAGCTGTGACGGAATCAGGAAAGTGCTGGGTCCAGGTGGGCCTGCCTTGAATGCGAGATGTACAGTCTTGTAGTTCAGTATTCCTGCTGCAGAGCCCATAAGACCTGAGTTCAAATCCCAGCTCCACCACTTTTCAGATGTATAACCTGGGGCAAGTTATTCAATCTGAGCCATCATTTTCTTAAAAACTTATTTATTTATTATTATTAATTGAAATAGAGTCTTGCTATGTTGCCCAAACTGGTCTCAAGCTCCTGGGGTCAAGTGATCCTCTCACCTTGGCCTTCCAAAGTGCTGGGATTACAGGCATCAGCTACCATGACCAGCCTCTCTGAGTCTTCATTTCTCAAACCATGACACGGGGATAGTAATGGTATCTATTTCATAGGATTGCAAGAATAAGAGAAGCCAGGCATCTCCTTCTTTCCTGAGATGACAGCCTTTATTCCCATTGCTACTTAGCCTCTTGCTCTAGGTAAGAAGAGTAATGACAGCCCTGGGGCACTTGTAACTTGGCAAGCCCCACTCAGTTACCAGATGAAAGTCCAATGAACCATCTCACTCTCCATCTTGGGAACCACAGCCCAAGAATCATTCATCTATAGTCTCCCACAGCAGGAACTAGAGCAGGGGAGATAGGGCGGACCTGTGACCCCATCCTCCAGTTCCTGGCCTTTGGGTAGAATCCAGCTTCCCACCTGGTGCACTCCCAGGGTGGCAGATGGGCAGGCGGGCAGGCACCTGCTGCAGGCCTGCGTCAGCGGTGGCTGGTCCCTGGGGGTTAAGGCTGTGGGTGGAAGCCAGGAGGCGGAGGCTTATGCAAAACTGCACACAGTTTAGTTTTTTGTTGTCTGTGTCCTAAAGGGAGTAGGCGTGGGGAGACTGCCGCCCTTTTATTATAAATCAGATTCAAACGCAGCAAAAAGAGAGCATCTCTAAGGAGGGACAGGAGAAAAAACGAGGGAGAGGAAGAAAAAGGAAAAGGAAAGGAATAAAGAGGAGAAATTGGGGGGAAAGAGGGAGGGATATAATAGAGGGAGAAGGAAGAGGGGGAAGGGAATGCAGTGGAGAAAGGAGGGGCAAGAGGAGAGACGGAGAATGTGGGGCATGATGGACATTCACAGGGAAAGGAAACAGGAAGAAAGGCTCAGCACTTTCTAAAAGGAATTGCTGAACATAAAAAGGAACAGGCAGTGCAGGAGCAGGGTGAGTCTGCAGGCAATAGAGCCGGCAACGTTTGAGCCTCAGCAAAGGGGACCACACAGCTCGGGCTGGGAGGCTTCAGGCCCCAGGATGGGGGCCACACTTTCAAGACCTCCTTCTCCAGTCATCCTGTGGGCAGCCTCCCTGGGGCCTGGAACTGTCCAGATGCCCAGTGCTAACATGTCTGGGTGATAACAGGCCTCTCCGGCAGAGCCTCGCAGACATCCTGAAACTACTTGCTATGCACCCACCGTATGCCAGACAATATTCCAAGCACCGGAGAAGTCAGCAGTGAATAAAACAAACAAAAATCCCTGTCCCGATGAAGTTCTATTTTAGTGGAGAAGATAAGACACATTGTAGCGTGTCAGAAAAGGTCAAGTCCTATGGAGAAAAACCAAGGAGCAAAAGAGAATGAGGAATTTAGCATCTGCATCCCCAACAGTGGTCATATGTAGCTCCCACAGAGGTGACACAGTGTCAGAGGGTACCCGGGCCGGGAAGCGGGTTCTCACACGCAGGCTATGCTGGTGTTGGGTTATGGGCCACAGAGACTTACAGATGGGTGATCTGTCAGAGGCCAGACCCCAGCCCCAGGCCCAGAAAGCTGCCCATCCCCTCTCTGATGGTCTCTCAATCCTCTACCCTCAGACCATGTTGGCCTCTACTGTGCAAGAGAAACAAGTTTCCACCCTGTGTGTCCTGTGCCAGCTCAGGTCTGGATGAGCTGAGACACTGGGCTCTGCTGTGTCACTGAGTCAACTCAGGCAACCCACTTCCTCACTCGGGCCTCAGTCTACTTGCCTATAAAATAGGGACAATGATCCCTGCCTAATGAACACTGAATAACAGCAAGGCTAGTGGCTGTTTAAGCGCTTACTGCTTTATCCTTCACCCTGCATGTATGTTCCTGAAGAGCACCAGCCTTGGGGTCCAGAAAAGCCCAGGGACAGCAGGGGCCGAGACCCAAATCTCAGTGTGTCCTTCACTGTGAGCCACTGGACCCTTGTCCGGGAGACACATGGGGACAAGAAGGGCCCAAGGGCAGGAAGTCTGGGAAACTCAGCACACTCTACTTGCCTTTGGGAGATTCACAATGCTCACTGCCAAGTCCAGGCTCTGGGAAGATATACTCCAAGAACTGTGGGTGGATGGATGGATGGACGGATAGATAGATGAATATATTATTCTACTCACTTCCAAATGGTAAGAATCCCAGGGAGGAAGGTGAAAGTGATTCAAGCCCCAAGAACTCAGGGCAGAACCATTCACAGCCCCTCTAGACCACAAGTTTGGCTGGAGAATAGACGGAACTTATTCATTCATTGATTCATTCACACAACACACAGTGGTAAAAGCAGCGTTAGAGATGAGCCCTGGGAACCATGGGAACAACTAGGAGGGGACAATTAACTAAATATGGGGGTGAAGGTAGCCAGGGATGGCTTTCTGGAGGTGAGACTGAAGGGTCCTTTGGGGGAACTGACCTCAGGGCTCGAGCCCTCATGCCATTTTTTCCAGCCACAAGAGTCATGCTTGGGGCTTCTTGAACTACATAGGCAGCTTCAATCTGATGGTTGTAGCCCCCTGACCTCAAAACAGTCCCTCTTGGAGCCCCCTTTTTACCCCAAATCCCTAGTCCTCTTTGCTGTCAGCTGCTTGTGAGCCTTCTCACATCCAGAGAATATATCAGCATTCTGCAGACCGAAAAGACCCAGAGGAACAAGGCTCCAATGGCAAAATTCCAAGTAGAATGACAAATAAATGGGGAGCCATTTGAGAGCAAGGGAGTCCTGCCCAACACCCCCTCCCCATGCCTTTCTCAGGGACCTCAGACCAGCCACTCACCTCCATCCTCCCAGAACCACCTGCAACCAGCCCGTTGCCCCTTGCAAACTGGAGCATGACTGGATCTTTAGATGGGGGAAAAATGCTTCATCATGTTCTGCTTCTTCATGCAAAACCAGAAACTCCCTCCCCCTCTTCCCTCCTCCCAGCGCACTCTCCTTCCAGTAAAACATGGTTAAAGGGACAGCGCCATCACTTTCCCAGCTCTGAGGGTCTGCTTAGAACCAGGGGCCTTGGAAGGAGACAGAGGGCAAAGAGAAAGGAACTGGCAGAGGTCTTTCCTGGGGGATCTGTCTGTTCTGTCCTGGGAATCCTGGAGCAGGAAAACTCGGGTAAAGTGGGGGTGTAGTGGGGGTTGAGATAACCGCCTGGGGGAGATTCAGAGTGCAAGTAGGAGTCTACAAACTCTCAAGGGGGTCTCAGGGCTCCCGGCATCCCCAGGGGTCCTTTCGCAGGGGTCCCTATGCAGGAGGAGAACAGCCCAGAAAACAGGGAACTAGACCCTTGACAGGAAGTCCAAGGAGGGGTCCCTGGCTCACTGTGTGACCCTGCTGGATCACTCGCCTCCGCTCTCGGGTCCCCTGAGCACTCCGTGCCTCCCTTCCCTCCCCTAAAGTAAAAGCAGAAGTTAATCGCTTTCCCCTCCCCACGCCCAACAAAGAGCAGGCCCTGTCCCCGGTGCTGAAGCGCCAGCCGCAGCGCCTCCCCCACTCCCAAGGCATAAAACATGAGCCAAAACCAATAAAGAACCAAATGTCACAGCCGTTGCAGGGCCCCCTAAGTCCTGGGGACCCCTTTTTCTACCTGACATCCTAGTGGGGTGAGGGACTTTTGTACCTGGAAAGCATCCCATCACTTCCCTGGAAGCGAGAAGGGATGCCGACTCAGGCGCCTGCTTGTCTGTTATGGGGGTAGGGGAACAGAGAACAAGTTGAGGCTGAGAAGATGGGGAGGGGGAGGGAGAAAAGAGGACTTCATAGTGGAGAGAGAACGGCAAGATGTGGGTTCCCCATCCCCAATTCAGCCAGAGACCCCTCAAAGTGGAACTTCCTGGGGCAGTCGGGGGTCAGAAGTTGGAGCTTGTCTCTGGGGCAAGACCTCTTCGTTGTACAGATGGAAAAACAAGGGTGGGAGAATACAGCTCGTCCAAGGTCATTCGACTAGCAAACTGCTTAGCTGACCCTAGTGTGCAGAACCTGGCTCGGGTGACACCCATCATTTCCCCCCACCCCACACAGGCGCCAGCTCTCTCAATTTCATGCTCAAGCCCCGCTACGGTACCCCCACTGTGGGTTATCTGCCCCTCAAACTCAGCCCAGCTTCCTCCTGCCTATTCAGGGAACCCTCTGCCCGCTTCGCTGAGGGTCCGTCCCCTTTACTGGGGATGGCAGCAGGGTCTCCTGTCTCCTCTCTCGGGGGGCCACTGCCGACTTTTCATAGAACGCTTTGCCCCCTCCCAACCCCACCCATCCGGGGTTCCCTCTCTCCATCCTCTGCAGCGTCTCCCATACCCCCATTGAGGGTAGTCTTGGTATTCTCCCCAACTCCAGGTCCCCCTTCATCTATTCCAGGGCTGGCCGCGGAGTTTCCTGAGCGCTCTCCAAGTGGGTCCTCTAGATGTTAGGAGAACACTGTACTTCCCCCCGTCAGGGGTCTCCTGTCTCCGTTCTATGGAGCGTCCATGCTCCCATTCAGGACTGTCTTGCTCCCTCCTCTATTCCGGGGCTGGCTGCACAGTCTCTGTACCCCCTATCCTGAGGGCCTCTCTTAACTATTTGGAAAGCCTCGTGTCCTCTCTCATACGGGGATCCCTTCATCCTAATGACTGCAATCTTCCATTGCTCCATCCCTAGGGCATCCTGCCCCTATTCCCATCAGGTTTCTCCTTGTCCTCTCCCTGTTTCAAGTCCCCTTTCTTATGCCGAACACACTCTCAGGCTCTTCCGACGCATACCCGGGGGTCCTCACTGGCCCACTCCGGGAGTCCTCTGCCCGCTACCCCGAACTCGGGGGTCTCCTCTGACGCAGCGTCGATTCCCCTTCCCTCCTCGGTCCCCTACCCCGCCCCTCTCACTGCGGCTGAGCCGGTCAGCCGGGGGCCGCAGGGGAGGAGGCGGAGAGGGCGGGGCCCTCCTCCCCACCCCCTCACTGACAAGGGGTTGGACCCGGCCGCGGCGGCTATAAAAGGGCCGGCGCCCTGGTGCTGCCGCAGTGCCTCCAGCCCCGTCCCGGCCCCGCGCACCTGCTCCGGCCATGATGAGCTTCGGCGGCGCGGACGCGCTGCTGGGCGCCCCGTTCGCGCCGCTGCACGGCGGCGGCAGCCTCCACTACGCGCTGGCCCGAAAGGGCGGCGCAGGCGGGACGCGCTCCGCCGCCGGCTCCTCCAGCGGCTTCCACTCGTGGACACGGACGTCTGTGAGCTCCGTGTCCGCCTCGCCCAGCCGCTTCCGCGGCGCAGGCGCCGCCTCAAGCACCGACTCGCTGGACACGCTGAGCAACGGGCCGGAGGGCTGCGTGGTGGCGGCGGCCACAGCGCGCAGTGAGAAGGAGCAGCTGCAGGCGCTGAACGACCGCTTCGCGGGGTACATCGACAAGGTGCGGCAGCTGGAGGCGCACAACCGCAGCCTGGAGGGCGAGGCGGCGGCGTTGCGACAGCAGCAGGCGGGCCGCTCCGCTATGGGCGAGCTGTACGAGCGCGAGGTCCGAGAGATGCGCGGCGCGGTGCTGCGTCTGGGCGCGGCGCGCGGTCAACTACGCCTGGAGCAGGAGCACCTGCTCGAGGATATCGCGCACGTGCGCCAGCGCCTCGACGACGAGGCCCGGCAGCGAGAGGAGGCCGAGGCGGCGGCCCGCGCGCTCGCGCGCTTCGCGCAGGAGGCCGAGGCGGCGCGCGTGGAACTGCAGAAGAAGGCGCAGGCGCTGCAGGAGGAGTGCGGATACCTGCGGCGCCACCACCAGGAGGAGGTGGGCGAGCTGCTCGGTCAGATCCAGGGCTCCAGCGCCGCGCAGGCGCAGGTGCAGGCCGAGACGCGCGACGCCCTCAAGTGCGACGTGACGTCGGCGCTGCGCGAGATCCGCGCGCAGCTTGAAGGCCACGCGGTGCAGAGCACGCTACAGTCCGAGGAGTGGTTCCGAGGTGCGGAGGCCCGCGGGTGGGGGGGGAGGAGCGCCCCCGCTGACCCCGCAGCGAGCTTCTGGGCGGTGTGACCCAAGGGGGCGCTGCTTACCTTCCCTCTGCAAAGTCCATGCCCCTAGTTAAATCGCGGTTTTACTCTGGGTCTCTTGTGGGACGTACCCAACTCTGGATTGTCCTTCGGTTCCCCCTTTCCAGGTTCTTTAGAGCTATACTTAAGCTCTGGGCCCCCTGCTGCTCTCTACCCCAAGCTTAGGCAACCCCACTCCAATGTCAAGAACAAAACAAGTTTCCTCTGTAGGAAAAAAGTGATGCAGGATTCTGGTCTGCAAGTGCTGGAGACTCTTAGCCCTTCTAAGTAGCAAGGCTTCCCCGCCAATGCTGCCACGCCCTCTCCTGCACCCTGCAAGGAACCCTATTCCTCTCTCCCCTACCAGGCTCCTCCCCACTCCGTGCTCACTGCTTAACGTCCCTACCTTAATCTTCCACGTCGGGTGGGGCAGGGCTTTTCGCATCTTTTCTTCCTAGGAGGAACCATTACCACAATCAGTTGTTGCCTGTGGCGAGGTGGCTGGTGGACCCGTTCATGTTTTAATGTCCCTTTTCTCCTTTAGGAAAGCTGGGAGCCTCCCAAGTCTGCCCCTCCCCCAACTCCTTGCAGCCCTGAGTCAGCTAGATTGCGCTGCCTTGAAGCTGTGCCCAGCAGCTGCAGGGTGACCTTGACCAACACTTGCCCTCTCCGGTTTTAATTTCTTTTTGAGTTGAAAGAGTGGGGTAGATCAACTGGGCTGCTTAATTCGGGGAGTTCCGTGATCTCTCACGAAACTGTCTATAAAACTTTGCGTTGTTTTTGGGAGAGAGGGCAGAGGCTTCAGTGATTTTCCAAAAGCATCTGTGATTCACAATAGTTGAGAATCCCCAACCACCTGGATGGTTTCTAAGTCTTCGCCAGCACTAGCTAGCAGGGAAAGCCAGGAAAACCGGGATTTGGATGCATAGCTTTTTCTGTTCCTTTTCCACTCCTCTGCAGAGCAGAACCATCCCCTCCTCCATCTCCGCAGCAAGGCCCCTCCCTGCGCAAACCTCTTTTGGGTTTGCCAGTCATAGGGACAGACGTCCCAGAATTTTACTGGCCCACTCAGCTGGCTTCCTTCCTTCCTCCCTCCCCACCAAGACTCATGCCCTGGGTGCCACTATCTGGGGATTCAGGATGTTCACTTTCATGAGCTAAAGACCAGTCTCCAGACCTCCACTGCCCCTGAAAGGTTTCCTGGGAACCAGGAACTGGTTGCTGGCAGAGGCTGGGGTGTGGCTACCAATGCTCAGGGGCAGTGCGCAGCTAGGTGGAGAAAGGGACAGGGGGGTTGGCACCCAGGCCACGGGCTCTGCAATGACCTTGGATTCTGCGCAGAAACCTGTAAGGAAGGAACCATGGCTACAAGGTGACCTGATTGCTCACGGTACCCTCCTGCCTCTCAAAGGTCACAAGCTCATTAACTTGTTCAGCCACAAGCCTCCAGCCTGCAGCTCAGTGTTAAGCCCCATGGGCCAGGTATAACATTGGAACCCCCAGCACTGCCAGGCCCTTGCTAGGGAGCTGGACTGCAGAGTTTTTGGATCCCACATTGCGGGAGACAGAGCCTGATCTTTGGGGATTTGAGTCCCAGCTCTGCCACTCACTAGCTGGGTGGCCTTAGGGAGTAGTCACTTGCCTTTACCTCACAGGAAAGAGTGAGTCAAGCATCCAGGATGGTGCCTGGCATACGCAGTAGGTCAATCCACGTGTGTCACCTTCAAAATCTAGGCATTAGGCCGGGCGCGGTGGCTCACGCCTGTAATCCCAGCACTTTGGGAGGCCAAGGCAGGCGAATCACGAGGTCAGGAGTTCAAGACTAGCCTGGCCAACGTGGCAAAACCCCATGTCTACTAAAAATACAAAAAATTAGCTGGGCATAGTGGCGGGTGCCTGTAATTCCGTTACTCGGGAGACTGAGGCAGGAGAATCGCTTGAACCCAGGAGGCGGAGCTGGCAGTGAGCCGAGATTGCGCCACTGCACTCCAGCCTGGGCGACAGAGTGAGACTCCATCTCAAAAAAAATAATAATAATAATCTGGGCATTAGAACCCAAACCCAGGTGTGTCTAACCCTGTGCCCTGCTACCTTCTCCCCCAGTGAGGCTGGACCGACTGTCCGAGGCAGCCAAGGTGAACACAGACGCCATGCGCTCAGCGCAGGAGGAGATAACTGAGTACCGGCGTCAGCTGCAGGCCAGGACCACAGAGCTGGAGACACTGAAAAGCACCAAGGACTCACTGGAGAGGCAGCGCTCTGAGCTAGAGGACCGTCATCAGGCCGACATTGCCTCCTACCAGGTGGGCAGGGGCAGGGCAGACAGCTTACCTGATTGGGTAACCCTGGACAAGTTACTGTCCCTCACCAAGTAGGATTGTAGTGGTTAAGATTGTGGCCCTTGGAGTCAGACATACCAGCACTTTCCAGCTGTATGACCCTAGGAAAGTTATCTAATTCTCTGAATCTGGATTCCTTTCCAGCAATGAAAAAAAAAAGCCTGCTTTGCAGAGCTGGAAAGATGAAAGAGATAGACTTTTATTTATTTACGTATTTGTTTTGAGATGGAGCCTCACTCTGTTGCCCAGGCTGGAGTGCAGTGGCATGATCTCAGCTCACTGCAACCTCTGCCTCGACTCAAGAGATTCTCGAGCCTCAGTCTCCCGAGTAGCAGGGACTACAGGCGCATGCCATCACACCTGGCTAATTTTTGTATTTTTAGTATCAACGGGGTTTCACCATGTTGGCCAAGCTGGTCTCAAACTCCTGGGCTCAGGCAGTCCTCCCACCTTAGCCTCCCAAAGTATTAGGATTACAGGTGTGAGGCACCGTGCCTGGCCTAGAGAGAGAGACTTTAAATGAGATTAGTGTGAACTTGTCAATGAGCTCGGCAAGGTCTTCAACATTCGAATCCTTCTAGATTTGAATCCCAGCTCTGCCACTCACTAGCTTGGTCTTGGTCACAGTGGACATTTGGTAAACAGCCACCAATGTCTTTGGGTGACCGGGGGAAGGCCTTAGCAGATTCCTTCTTTTAAAGATAACTGGCGGCTGGGCATGGTGGCTCATGCCTGTGATCCCAGCTCTTTGGGAGGCCAAGGCGGGTGGATTACTTGAGGTCAGGAGTTCAGGACCAGCCTGGCCAACATGGTGAAACCCTGTCTCTACTAAAAAGATACAAAAATTAACTGAGCATGGTGGTGTGTACCTGTAATCCCAGCTACTTGGGAGGCTGAGACAGGAGAATTGCTTGAACTGAACTTGGGAGGCGGTGGTTACAGTGAGCCGAGATCATGCCACTGCACCCAGCCTGGGTGACAGAGCGAGAGAGCGAGACTCTGTCTTAAGAAAATAAAAAAAAATTAGCTGGGCATGGTGGTGTGTGCCTACAGTGCTAGCTACTCCGAAGGCTGAGGCAGTCACCAATGCCCTGACTATGTGTCGGACACGGTGGCACACTGGGGAAAGACAGGAGCAAAAGCAGGCAAGGCCCTGCTCCCACTGGGCTTTTTTTTTTCTTTTTTGAAACGCAGTCTCATGCTGTTGCCCAAGCTGGAATGTGACAGCGAGATGACAGCTCACTAAAGCCTTGTCCTCCTGGGCTCAAGTAATCCTCCTGCCTCAGCCTCCTGAGTAGCTGGGACTACAGGTGCACATCACCATGTCCAGCTAATTATTTAATTGTTTTGTAGAAATGAGGTCTCACTGTGTTGCCCAGGCTGGTCTCAAACTCCTGAGCTGAAGCGATCCTCCTGCCTCAGCCTCCCAAAATGCTGGAATTACAGGCGTGAACCACCAGAGTCTCACTATATCCCCCAGGCTGGAGTACAGTGGTGCGATCTTGGCTCACTGTAACCTCCGCCTCCTGGGTTCAAGCGATTCTTCTGTCTCAGCCTCCCAAGTAGCTGGGATTACAGGTGTATGCCACCACATCTGGCTAATTTTTGTATTTTCAGTAGAGACAGGGTTTCACCATGTTGGCCAGGCTAATCTTGAACTCC